GCTGGAGTAAGGAAAATTTGCCTGGTGGATACGATTCACCTCCTGGAACGGTTAGATCCAGCATGAGGTAGTACCAAGACTCGCAATCATCTTTTGGTCCCATTTCTATGCCTTTGTGACACGCTATGGAAGCAAATGGAATTGTGCCCTGAAAGATTACCAAAGTACACTTTCACAAGTTAATCATTCTCACGTTTACAAAAAAGACTGGTTAACTTATATGAGAACAACGGAGCCCCCTCCCTCCCTCCCATCTTCTCTGAAAAAGAAACAAACCTTGAAGCGTACGGAAATTCGCGGTGTTTTTAGTTCATTCTTATCATTGAGAATTCGGCGAGCTATACCAAAATCCAGAATATACACCTAAGTGTTAGCGTTGGCTACTATTCAGCATTTGTCATTTCTTCCTGCACCTACTATTCTTTTCTTTTCTCCCAATCCGATAGCATAATTGGCGGGTTTAAGGTCTCGATGTATAAATCCATACTTATGTAAATCTTCACATGCTTCGAGACACTGTATTGAGGCACCTAAGCCTGTGGATACAGAAAATACCTAGAATGACAGTCAAAATACATATGGCACTGCCCGATAAAGTCATGAAAATTGAATTGCCTTCTCAGGTCTGGCGCTTTTTAGATCGGCCAAACTTTTTCCAACCAGCTCCATCACAAGAAAGAAAAACGTTTCTTTTTTTCCTCTGTCGATAATTGCAGTAAAATGAGACTGGCGCCGTTCATTAGATACGAGTTTTAATATTGCAATCTGCAAAGAGTAATTAGGAGCTTGTGGCTATACTGAGCTTTTGCTCAAAATGACAAAGGGACATTGTTATTTAACAAACAAGGGTATCTCGTTCAAATTTTCTACCAATCTATAGCGCTTCCTCATTTTCTTGACAAATTAAGCATATCAAGCTGGTGCATAATTGTCGATTATTTTGGTTCCTTTTGATAATTTTCTAATTAGTTTTTCGCTTACGAAAAGACCTTGTCAGCCGCTATGTGCC